AGATTGTTTCTCCTCGTCTACTACCTGTAGCACTCACTGAGCTTACCAGCTCCTTCATATATCTCTCACCCTTTTTTGCATCTGCCACATCGACCAGTAAGTCAACAGGCTCTTGCGCCACATAGGGTTCAGGGGGATACCTTTGGGATCAGGGGGATCAGGACGGCACGTTCCACGTGACTGTCCCTTTTTAGTCTTTTTGATCTCTTGTCCGGTGTTACCGTGACACACTGTAGGATTGAGCACTAATGATAATGTTTAAAAATCATATAAAGTATATGTATCAATGAGAAATGCACCAATAGAGAAAACGTAGACGTCATTATCACCCGTCTTGTCATAGTAGGCTGCGATCTTGACAAGCCCAGCTTGTAGGCCATTGGTAAAGTGCACATAGGCGGGATCCTGCAACTTTGCAGTCCATTGTGCATGTAAGTCTTCAAGGGCAGGTAGCGCAAGGTGCAGTGCCAGATTATGGTCAGAAGAGAAGTACTGTTGACAGAGATCTGCGATCTGTCCACTTTGATGACATACTATCAGACTGTTAATGAATGGGGTGTATGTACCTGAAGAATGCGCTGAAATGACTTAACACACTTTCACTTGTCTTCTTTCAGCAGGAGGGTATACAACTTTGTGGATGTCTTCAAGTCCTTCACAGCTCTCAAAATCTCAGTGACAAACTTGTTGACATGCTAAGAAGATCACTGAGTAGTGCAGCACATGAAAACACTGAAGAGCACTCACTGCGTGAAGGCTATATGCTCAATTGAGCATCGTATACATTGATGACCATCAGACCTTCATGTCAAGTAGAAGAGTCTTGATGTTCTTGAACTCGACATCGGCAGACACTTGAATGTCATGAAATTGCTTCTTGCACTGGCTTGATGAGCACTCCTGCACGCATTTATCAATACGAATGCTTCATCATTTACTTCACTCATACCTTGATGAATATCATGCAAATCAATCCTACTTCATCGTGAATAGTAGCTGACGTATCCGATATATGCACATCTGGCTGTTCAGGGTCATAATACAGAGATTTGCTTTAAGCAGCGATAAAAGCTTGTGTTCCAAGGTTGATAATATGTGCGAGGCAGCTACAAAACATTTATAAGCATACTCTCATATAGTTCATATGCGAACACCTACCCAATGCATTGACGCAGTGCGTTGAACTCAATTCTATGATTATTGTGGACCATGGAAGTGAATGCTGTCATCATGGTCAGATTTGCGCTCGCATTATCGCAAGTAATGATAAAAATCTGTACGTCTGCTGTCAATATTCTCTCACCAATGTCGATTTCGTGATAACATACCTTGTCTGCAATGCTGACTCAGCTGGTGACCTTGTAAAGTGCTTGTCCCAAGTGCATGCCATGATGTGAATGGTTCATGCACATGAAGCCAATCAGGGCACCTTCAAGCGACCAGTCATTTGGCAACTTCTCTTCTATCCAATGTGCTGTCACAGCAAAGTAACTGTCAGTATTGCTGGCTTGCCAAGCATCGCACATCAGAGATACTTTTCCTCTAATGGTTAAGCCCTGTATTGCCATGAATCATGATCAGAGTGCAGCTATCAGCTGGATGATGACTCAGATAGGCATATTTGCAGCCATTTCTTCAGATCACATAGACATTGGTGGAACAGATCGACAATTTCTCGACGTGTTGATGCTCGCTTTGAGATTTTCGCCACTCCCTTGGCATGAGAAGTGAGATTGATCAAGTTTGTGAATGCTTGATGTTCAAAAGCTCCGATAGGCTGATAGATGGCACTATAAGACCATGCATTTGAAGAAAGAATTTTCCTACCTGATCGGTCTCTACCAGCCACTGAATAGCGGCAGATTTGAATGCTTCATCTGAATATGAAATTGCATGTTCAGCTGGCTGACTGACTTGAATGTGGCCCTCGAGGATTCCTTGAGAAATTTGACTCTCGAGTATCTTGGCTTTATGAGTGGCGATGTCACTTGAGAGCTTGGAATCGAAGTCATTCTTCTCACATCATTTGTAGTATTCATGCTAGTAAATGGTGTCATTAAAATGTGTCACATAGTGTAAATTAAACAGTATGTTACCTTGTGCATTGCTTGCAGGTGTCATTGCAGGGTTGACATATCTGCTACAATAGTACAATTATTAAGATTCCTCTTCCTGTTACATGGTGAGAAGACGTCGCAGTCACATGAAAAAGAACAGCACATACTGGCACAGTTGACAGCTGCAAACGCACTGTTTGATGGCCTTTTTAGATAGGTCTCTATGCTCATGCTGCCATGGATTACCAAACAAATGATTCACGTCAGACATATCACCGCTGCTCTTTGCTTTCTCCTTCAGCTCAGTAATATGCTGTATATCGAGTAAGATGCCATCGAAATCAAATTGATCCTTGTCTCTCTCACCCCGTCCATTGAACGGGATGTCCTCTGGTTGAACTGATAAGGACGCAAGGTTAGTAAATCATACAGTAGAGTCAAATAATGGTGCACCGGCAGCCGTCTTTGCCTTCTTCAAGACCGTCACATCTTCATCCCCCAATTGGTCACCTATCATGTTCTGTGCATTCTTCTTACATTTTGGTGCCAGCCCTGAATTTGCTGCATCGTCATCAATCTCGATGACTGATGATTTCATTCACGCACCTTCACTTGTCTCCAATGTCAACAACATTGGTCTGATTGCACCAATCACTGTGCCCCACTCTGCGTTATCGATATCATTGATTCTTGCACTCAGCTTGATGGTGCATTTTGGATGGCATTCTCTAGATGTCATTGCATCTTCTACAGTGAAACTGAAGTATGAGCTAATCTACTGTGATTATATGGCTGATTTAAGACATATCTGAGCCTTCAAGTAAGCTCATATTGAGTTGCAGATGTGGAGGTGAGCCAAAATTGTCAGAGAGCATGATGGAGAGAGTAGAGTGACTTGGCACAAAAGGGGGACAAACCCCCACATTATTTGCAGGCACCAATATTCCTTTAGTGAAAGTGATAGGTTTGAAATATTTGATTTAGATGTGGCATGGTATACAGAACCTCCTAGGAGCTCTATCTACAATGAACAAATAAAACACCACTGCAAGTCGGTGGACTTGCATCAGTATCATGATTTGCTAAAGAATTAAATGGGCGAGAGGATGAACCTTCTTAGATTCCATGTATGTCAAGTACACCCCTACCTCAAGGCTCGCAGAATGGTGGATGTGGTGAGATCATTGCTGAGATACAGCCTGATGGCAATGGCAGCATTGCATAGCTTAGGCTCATGAGCGCAGCCTGAGCAGCATTGAGGGGAACTGAGAGTGACTGAAAGTCATTATGTGGCCTCAAAGACTGCTCACGTTCAATGCACATGACCTCCTGCCTTTCATGGGAGCATCTATTTTCTGTGGCTGAAAGCCCAGGCTTGGAGCCCAGGGCTCGAGCTTTCCCCAAGTGGAAGCCGGGCCCATCTGCAGGCTCAGAGAGGGCTTGAACTCAGCTTTCAGTGGCTCGGCTGGGCTCAGCTTGGCCCAGCTCGGGCTTGTAAGCCTGACCTTGAACATCACTAACTGGACTCCTTATATACTTTTTACTCATACATTGTAGTCACTCATTTCTATGTGTCTTACAGGTATTTCTATAGCACTCACATCATACATTGAGGCTGAGTCACTTGTTCCTATGTGTCTTACAGCCCTCAGAAATTTTCACCTCGGACAATAGGTTATGAGCCCTGAGGCTACACACTAACCTGTCCATTCATTCAAGCTTCTGCTGTGCTCACACTCCTTAATTCTTCTTTCTTTGACCAGCAGCCACACCAGCACCTCCTGCACCACAGACTACATCTTCTCACTCCACACCCTCTCAAGCCATGTCCAAATCTGTCAAACTCTCTCTCGGCTCAAACTGTCTCTATGACATACCGTTCCTCGAGGATGATAGAGTGAACTACCAGCAATGGAAGTTCCATCTGGAGATGGTGCTACGCATCAGAAAGCTCTGAAAAATCACCCAGGATAAGGAAGCTCGACCTTCAGACTCCGAACCTAACAAGCAGGCCAAATGGGATGACAAGGGTCAAGACACAAAGGCGCAGATCACACTCATGCTCAAAGACATGCCTCTGAGCGGCATCATGTATGAGAAGATGGCGAAGTCTGTATGGGACAAACTCACCACGCAGTATGAGGGGAAGGGGAAACAGACAATAGTGCACCTCATCAGTGAGCTATTTCATGGTATGCTCTCTGACAAGACCAGTATGGAGGCACAGCTCGATGACATGGTCCAAAAGGTCAACGTACTGGCCACTCTTGGACAGCCACTTGAAGACTCACTGATTGCAGTCGCCATGGTCATGTCGCTCCCTCCATCATATTCAGTACTTCGCACAATCCTCATGTCGATGAGTGACAAGCTCACCACAGAGATGGTCACAAGCCAGGTCCTTACTGAAGAGTGTGAATGCCTCAAGGAGGGATTGCAGCATGTGCTTGCCACCAAGCTGTCAGGTATGCCATCAACATTGAAGTCGAATGGGAAGCAGCCAAAATCTGGCAAGAAGTGTGGCTATTGCCACAAGCTGAACCACATGGAGAAGAAGTGCTGAAAGAAGAAGAGAGATGAGGAGAAGCAGGAGAAGGAGGAGGATAGCGATGATAGTGAAGACCTTATGGCGAAGGTCGCGCTCACCCAGGGTACCACAGTGTCCCCCATCCTTTGACTGTTCATCGCCCACGTGCTCACACAGTGCAGCCTATCCATCAATCATTGGATTTTTGACTCAGGTGCAATGGCATCTATGAGCTTACACTGGGACTGGTTCTTTCAATTCATGAACCTTACCTCATCGAAGTGTGTTTGGCTTGGAGATGGACGGTGCATTCATGCAAAAGGTATCAGGCAAATCTACATTGATTTAGCTATCGAAGATGGACGTACAAGCCTGACACTGCTACAGAATGTATACTATGTATGTGGCTCCAAGACAACCTCCTCTCCACCTTGCAACTCACTGAACAAGATCAGACCCTCATGTTCTGCAGTGACACCTGCAAAATCACTTGCAATGGTGAGACGATGGACCTAGTGCACAAGATGGATGGTCTCTACATCCTCGAGTCAATTTAACATGCTTCCATGTGAGCATTCGTAACACACACAAACTCCTTCATGGATCCTGACAAGTCTTCACTTGAAGCGCTGATGGTGAAGACAACAATGCACATGACGAACATTATAAAGTGGCACCACAAGACCTGCCACATGGGTACTGAAGTCACCCTACAAATGATCTATCAAGGCACAGTCAGCAACACGAATACCGTGAGCAATGTGACTCACCACATGAATACTGGTAAGCCTGGCTGAACAGGTGACAAGCCCTCAGCCACACACATCTGCATGCATGGGTGTACAACCTATGACGTCAGACTCGATCTCAAGTCAGTCAAGCACATCACCCTCAGGCATGCTCAAAGCATGAAGACACATGCTGCCTCTCACCAAACAGGTGAGCATACACATGACGTGCACAACACCACCTTTGACGAGGGCCTCCATACATGGCAGACATGCATGGTGATTGACCCTGAACTTGAACATGAAGTGCAGGGCAAACCGCTGAGCTCACCTGCCGGCACTGCCTCACAGCTCTTGCGAATGATGAGCGGCTCACATTACAATTATAGCTGTTAAACATGACTCAATGCTGCCACCACTCGACACACCCAGTAGCACATCCACTGGCAATAGTGACAATGACAGCAGCAATGATGAAGATGACCAGGGCAACACAGTACCCTCGCCCAGCCATCATGCTATGTTGTCACACCAGGCCACATCAAATTCCTCTCCTGCTCCTTCACCTCAGCATGAAAATGAGAAGGAGTACTTACCTGCCATCTCAAAAGTCACAGCATCTCTCTCTCACACTCGGACTCAATGCGCAGCCACTCCCACTCTCACTCTAAAGGCTCCAAAAAGCCATGTCCATCAATCTGCATGCGCACACCCAGCACTGATTCGCGATGATGATCTGTGATCTTCTGTCAGCACATACAAGCCCAAGACAGTTCCAGGAGACCTCGAAGCCAAGATGAAGCAGACAGTAGAGACTTCAGAAGTCCAGGAGAGAGCCAGAAGTAAAGGAGAACAGCCAGAGAGAGGAGAAAAGAATGCATGTCAAGTGGGTGCAGTAAAATGTGACAAGGCTCATGCAGGTGCTATGGATCACTCAGTTGATGAAGAACCTTGAAGAATCCACGTCAAATGTGGATCAACGGAAATCAGTGACAACAGAAGAACTTAACCCATTCATCAAGGCCACACTTAATGACGAGTACGACCATCCATGCACTGCAATCGAGCACAATTCAGATGAAGTCACATGGTGCAGACAGCATACAGCAAGCAGCCCGGGTTCTCAAATCTGCTCAGACAGACTCAGGAAACCCTACGCCACAGGCACTTACCATTCAATCCATGCAAGTCACAACATTTGCTGAAGACCCTCAGTTGTGCATCGCACAAGCAGCATGAAGGATTCAATTAGTGTTCTAAAATTAGGTCCGCATTCCCACTGAGTAGGTGTGTTGGAAGTCATACAGACTTTATGTCCAGTGGGACATGGACTTAGACATTCCACGCACATTCACTTATGTAATCACATAGCTACAGGTGCACTCAATCTTTTCCTGCTACCTCAGCACTCACATCATACATCGAGGCTGAGGTAAGTACCTACTGGACTCCTTACATACTTTTTACTCATACACTGTAGTCACTCATTCCTATGTGTCTTACAGGTATTTCTATAGCACTCACATCATACATTGAGGCTGAGTCACTTATTCCTACATGTCTTACAGCCCTCCGAAATTTTCACCTCAGACAATAGAGGGGTCCACTAGGCAAGGTGACATAAAACTGAGAAATAGTGATGTCCAGGGCTGGGCTTGGTCTCAGCTTCAGCGGGCTCAGGCTTGCCAGAATCGCAAGCTGGACCCTCTGCCAGGGCTCAGGCTCAGCTCAGGATCAGCCCGGCCTAAGCTCTGGGCTTGTGGCAAGTCACTCTTATTCAGTGTTGTCGTTGACCCCGATTATCGGATGATAACTGGGTGATAACTGGGGGTAAGGCACTTTGATCTTGACCTAGAGAAAGGGTCAAGCATAATATGTGCATGACCCCGTGGCGGGACGCGAATGTTCATATTAGTGTACAATTTCAACTAAATGTCAGTTCATTGCGAGAATGCTTCATGCTCCATCACTTCAAGCCATTATTGCTAATTATGGTAAATAATGGATTATGTGCACGTGATGCTTGATCTCTTGACCTCATCTTAACCTGGTCATTGACGGGGAGTCAATCAGTTGACCTCAGTCAAGTCTAAGGGGTCAAGCCTTGACCCCTACATCACTGCAGTCTTATTGATGTCTACAGTTCAATTGGTGAGGCACATATTGAAGCAATCCATACAAAATTTTCCTTTAACCATGCCTGATCATATGGCCAGCAGATGGCATGAGGGTTTGGCTGATGAGCACATGCTGGGCAGCAAACAGGGGACTGCGAGTGACTGAAACCCACCTTGAAGACCGCTTGTTTGACATCACATGACCTATTACCTTGCTTGGAAGCATCTATATTGCTGTGGCTGAAAGCCCAGGCTCAGAACCTCAGGCTCGAGCTTTCTCTAATTGGAAGCCGGACCTGCGCACAGGCTCAAAGAGGGCTTGGGCTCAGCTTTTGATGGCTTGACCAGGCTCAGCTTGGCCCGGCTCAGGCTTGAAAGCCCGGCCTTAAACATCACTACCCAGAAAAAGGGTGGCCAGCCCCCATACAGCCATGGGTATGCTCACAAGACAAGTAGGCGTCAGTGGCACCACTGTCGAGGGGACTCAGATGAATGCCTCATAAAATAGGTGATTAAGACTGGGGTTGCCAGTCTAAACCAGGGGCATATATATACATGTGGGGCCAGATCTCAGTCACTCTATCTACTGTGTACCTACTGGGGTCCTGGCAAGCCACATGCACATACTACATAATTGCTACAGCCAATCACAATGTACCTACTAGTAAATACTACGTGGTCATTGGTGAGCTGCAGACTTATATATAGGTTCATGGTCTGTGTGGCCTTCTGAAGGGAAGCTGCCTCAGCCATGAGGTTCATTGCTGACCTATTTATCAATTCATGCCTCAGTGTCCCGTGCCTATGGCCGATTCTATAGGAGATGCTGGTGATTATATGCTATCCCAGGTCACATGATGTGAGCACTAGTATGGGTGCTTCTACAAGTCATGTGATGTGGCTGAAGCACCTACAATCGATAAGATCCTTGGACACTTAAATAATCATCATAGCTGTGGTGGTGGCTTTGGTGACCAGTCCTAAGTCCACATCTATGGTGTGTTGCCCCAAACAGAGATGCAACTACAAAACTGTGACAAGGTGGTGAAATCGTGGGAAGGAGCACCTGTACCATAGGGCACTGTAGAAATGGGCGGAGCACTGAGTGGCTGCGATGCTATACAAATCCATATTGGAAGTGGTCGACCAATGGCACTTTCAGTAGAACATGCTCAATGCATCAGGAGGGAGAAGCATCAAGCAATGGCTGAAATGCATCACAGGTGGTACCTGGAAACAGAGTGGGCAAGTACAGAAGGGTGAAAAAGGCATATAAATCCACACCTATAGTACCATAGGCCCCAGGCATTTGTGGCCTCACCAGCCTCTCACTCCCTTTATGTCCATGAGATGAGAAGGTGCTGGCTGGCTAACACCCTCACCACATCAGGATTTCCTAGACAAATGACTCCGATTGGCCCATGTAAGGGTGGCTACGTGGGTGCAGTATCAAGGCAGTGCCACTCAGCTCAAGGGGGCGAAACCACTCGATACAGTCAGTGACATGAGCTGGGCTGCATTGGCAGTGGAATTGCAGGATGGGAGTGACCTGGCATGGGCACTATACCATTGGCAAAAGGTGCATTAGTATATAAATGCCGGTGAGACTATATATATACCATGCAGGAGTTGGAATTGTAGATAAACATAGAAATATGCATATATGTGCTTCTATAATCTCATAGGTCCTATGAGAAATTTTAAATGATCGGCAGTCTTGTGTGCTCTTTTAAAGCTCACACAGATCCTGCGAGCAATTAAAAATATATATATTCATAGATAAATTCCACCCCAGTCTGGAGAGTCATTCACAACTGCTTATAGTCATTGAGAAGCTTGCGAGGGGAATGACATATTTTTCTGTACACTGCACAAGATGAAGACATTGATTATTACTGCACTATGGGCACCCAATTCAAGCAGGCTGCAAAAAAATGGCTCAACATCAGGTCCACAAAATGGAGACCAAGACAAACATATATACTTCAAAGCATTAGAGTGCAGCATAGCCCCATAAACTGTACTCATCATTGACATCTTTTCTGTCTTCAGGACCCAAGTCACCCTTCTCACTGGCATGGATATTGTCATCTGCATTCAGCTCGCACTGCTCTTTGCCGTCATCATTCTCTGATGTGCCATCCAAGGCATAATCAACATCTTGCTCTTCATTGGCCATATTTTCTTTATCTTTGCTGTCAGCTGCATTTTTCTCTTCATCTCCACCATCACTTTCTGACATATCCTCACAGTCCTCCACCATTGGCTCCTATGTAGGGTCATCAACTGTCTTCTCCACCATGTGTGCTTGCATGAGGTGTTCAAACAGGTCAGCAGCATCCTCATCATGAATACCTGTATCAGCACCACGGTGTCTGATGCTGCCACCAAAGTAGCACATGAACATTTTTTGATCGACAAAACTGCAGCATGGCTAAGTCAGTTTGTCAGATGATGATTCCGCTAAATACTCACATAGTCAGTGTCCACTCCCCTGGGCTGTCACATGGCTGAACGTGGCAGGAGGTCCATGGTATGGCCACAAGCAAATGCGAGGATTAGATGTGCAGCATGCAACACCTCATCTGGGTTCACAAACATGAAAGCATGCAAATCTTCATCAGGAACAAATCCAATGCGAGGTAGCCATAGTGTATCGAAACTCACCATTGACATGCCTTCTTCTCATTCAAACCAGCGAACCCACAAGACATCGATTCACTGAGGCTCAGATGACTTCGACCAGATGCCAGAGTGCTTCACCATCACATGGAAGATCCCAACCACTCGGCCATACCAGTATGGATGCGACTCAGCTTCAATACCATCTTCATGAAAAAGTACAGTAGCATGATATCAGCATGAGAGCATGGATTGATCAAGTCTTGAGCCCATCGCATGTCGTAGGTCATATAGTTGATGTGTACGACTTTGTAGAAATAAATCTGATTGTCGACAATGCGCATTGTGTCAAGGTCCTCTGGGGGTGAACTCGGTCTCATCACTGTCATATGCCATCATTCTAAGCCATGTGAGCAAGTGAGTCTTGAGGTTTGGCAAGAAGTTCTGAAATGAGATCAGGTTAAATTCAGCTAGTGCAAGGGCAGCGCTGTGGCGTACCTTAAAAGCAGGATCACTTTGCTGCTCTCTCAGCCAGTGATGGATGTTTTCAGAATGTGGTGCTCTTTCAGAGATATGATAACGGTTGTCCATATGTGTAGATGCAGGAAGTGGGTCTGATGTAGCAGACATCAGAGCAGCCACTCCACTTCATTCACTAATGTCCTGAGGTCACAGATTTAAGTCAGAGTCTGTAGCAGCTCACTTGTCTCGATGATTTTGAACAAATCGATGAATATCATGTATGATGGCAGCACATCATTCATGCTTCACGATTTGTCCAGTATAGTGGAATTTGTTCATTCTTGGCCAGAATGCTTTGACTACACGATGTTTGAGTTTGCCCTAGCTTATATTAGCCTATGATGAACCAATACAGTGCCAATCTTACCATTTGCATAACCCCCAATCCTTCACCGTCCTCATCGCGAACATCCATCTGTGTCTGCGCTTCAAATTCAGCTTGAATGTCAGCTTTGACAGCATCATTTTCCTCAGCAAATGCTTTCTCAGTCAGCGACTTGATGACAGTGAGCATCTGCTTTGGCCCGAGCGTCTGCTCTGCAATGGCCTTTTTGACAGCAGGTCGGACCTTGGTGTCGTAGTGCTTCTGAGAATATAGTTCCACCAACTTAAGTCAGTGTCGACCAGTGGACTTCGTTGTGCCACTGATGTCCACATCAAAGCAGCCAGGGAATTTTCTGCCATCGTGGCATCAAGCCTTGGCAGATCTGTTTCAAAACCACGAGCGTAGTTGCTATATGGAATGTGGGCACGTCAGTTAAGGCAAACGTTGTGATATAGATGGTGGAACTTACAATTTTGCGATGCTGAATGGCCTTGCTGTACTGCACTTCCTGTTCAGTAGTCAACTCTGTGATCTCACCAAAGAGCTTCTTGTGCTCTGAGAAGGTCTGGAACCACTCATGATCCACCTCGACCCAGAATTTCTGCAGAGTCCTGGTCTTCTAACTCTTGAGATAGCTGCTATATTTCTTTTCAAGGAAGTTGCACTCCTCATCTGTCATTCAGCGTCAAGCAGACATGATGTCGAATCTGAAAAAGGACAGGCACATGAGTATGAGCAGGCTGTAGGAGAGGAGAACGATACATAACTGGTGTGCCACAATGCATCGCCATGCTGCAGCTGTTCTTTTATCTTCTCATTCTCAAGCCAATCGAATGGAGTTGTGAATGCTGGTGATAACATTTGAATAGTGGCCATCGATGTAAAGAGCATGCGTGAGGCATGAGCCAATGAATAATTTGGGCTCATAGGTGGCCTGAGAGGGTTTTAAAGTAGGCTGTCTAGAGTGAGGGCTTGTAGGCACACTGTAGATTGTATCCTCACTGTATCCTCTCTCACCTTCTCCCAGAAATGTCGAAGTCCAACAATGACCACCATGGCAAGGATCATGCTGAAGAAGATAATGCCAGGCTGGATCGCAATGAAGAGACTATGGTCTCATTGGAGATGATCATGGTGGCACTGTGTCTTGTCGCTGAACAGCGTACTAGTGATTGTCATCCAATCTGTGATAAACTTGAGTGATACTAACCTCACACTTGTAATGCAGCTGGCAATACCACATCATCAACACTCCATGACCGCGACTGATCTCCCAGCATCAACACAGTCTTTTCTACCGCATCGACCTCCACCACATGTGATGCTTCTGTTCTGGTCACCACGGAGCTGAGCAGCAGTAGTGAACATGCTCATGAGGCTGAGCATGCTGGCTTCCAGTATGTCAATGCCGAGGAGAGGGCTGAGAGCAATCATGATGAGGCCAGGCCCGTAGTTGCTGTTGAGCAGCCACCTTCAACGTGCTGGTATTGTATCATCCGTGGCCACACAGTTGGTGTATTTGCTGGGTGGTGAGTGAATCTCCCAGTACAATGTAATGGTGTTTACCTTATCTCCAGGCTGAATACATCCCCACTCATCACCAACATGCTGGGATGCCTCTTCCAGAGATACCCCATGTTCAACACTGCCCTCAATGCCTTTATGGAGGCATTAACAAGTGGGCATGTTGGCATCATCTTCGTCTGACTTTCATGAGGGCTGGAATGCTGTGATTGTGAATCGTCAGTGATATAATAGATAGATTTGCTTATATGCGATGTTGTCGTGCCTCCTGGCTGCTCTCCATTTGCTTGCTCACATAATTCATTGCGAATACTATCCTCTTCCCCACTATGTGCCATGTTTACTATGCTGCATGTGTATATATTACATTCTTGTTAGCAGCAATACACGTTTGTGCTCAACTCATTCCCTACCTGTTAGATGTCAAAGTAGCACCATGAGCGTTATCCTGTGAAATTGTAGCTTGCTACTGCTTGCCATGGGGGATTGTGTGAAGCATCAGATGGTGAAGGAAAAGCTCACAGCAAAGCGTGAGCAACAGAAGAGATATGCGCAGTCAGTGAGGTAAGCACAGCAGAATGTATGGCAACAAACTCATGAAAATGGATGCCCATTACAGGGGTCGTGCAAGACGTGCAATGCAGAACAAAAATGCATATGCTGCTCATACCAAATTATACCCAAGCCCCTTCCACCATACCATCCTGGGACTTCCATCCCAGCTGATCAGCCTGGCATGCCATCCATTCCATGTGAGCTGCACTTCTGAAGAGACATATGATCTAGGCATATGATCGCACCTGTTTGCTCTGCAAATTCTGAATGAGTTGCAGAAGATACCAAACGTTAATGAACTGTTCAATGACTATCAACACGATGACAATGAATTGGCATCAGGTCTTCACGCAGCACAGTTTCAATGCTTGAAAGAGGCAGGATGGTCCAGGTTGGAATGATGGTTAGAAGGGAGTGATGAGGAAGTGTTGTTGGCAGAGATAGACAATGAGATTGATCAAAGGCTGGAGGCGTGGCAGCAGACAGTAGGCAATAGTAATCCACATGATAGTACACTAGCAGCTGTCTCCCATATTATCAGTATAGAGTGGAATGTGAAGATTCTATGCTGCTTGAAGGTGGAGCAGCAGATCAGAACAATGAGTTCAAGGGAGATGAAAAGAGCATGGAGAGCAGGTGAATTACCGTGGCAATGTATGAATTACCGTTGGTAGATCTGATAGAATGGTTGCTGCATGAAGACTTGTGGAGGTATAGCAAGAACAGCAAGGATAGCAGATGGCATGTGATAAGCTAGGTTGAGCATACAGTTGAAAGCAGTTTAGTTGCACAATGCCTACTGGTGCTATACCGAATGTGACCCAAATGTATTGTACTTCTGTGTAATTTCTGAATACTTCATCTCTCAAGTAAAACCACATAATTCTGGTGCCTTGCAGAGACTATTTTGCACATTTTTATTACCTGCATAGTGTTTTCTATGGTGTGCTGACTTCGAAACATACTGGCCACTGAATTCAGTATGGTTGATATCACGATGCTGATTGGCTGGATGCACAATGTGTCAGGCACATGCCATTCTTCATGGTGTGTCAAAAATCTGATAGGCTGGACACACAACACATCAAGCGCTTGCAGTTTTCCAGATGAATCAACAATCTGCTAGGCTGGGTACGTGATGCGTCAAGCACATGCTTCTTTTCTGATGTGTCAGACAAATCTGATAGGCTAGACCCACGACGTGTCAAGCACTTGCTTTTCTCCTGATGAATCAACAATCTGATAGGCTGGGTATGCAACACGTCAAGCACATGCTCTCTTTTCTGGTGCATTCATGCTGACGAGTTCATGCTGATGCATTGTCACAGATTTTCGCCACAAAGTTCACATGTGACTTTTCTCACACCACAGATCACGTGCTTCACCAATATCTCACACCACTCAGTCACAGACATGATGTGTAGAGATCAGGTGATAGTCCACATCACATGTTATGGTCCAGACCCGTGGATGATACAGTCAGACCTGTCTATTCCAGGATACAATAGAGGCACCCATTTGGGAACAAAGGGAACAAGGACTATTATTATGCATTGGCCTTCCGCTTTCTATTAGTTTAGCCAGAAGCCCAGATAGGCACGATGTTCACACCGGAGAACAAAGGGAAACCAAGATAGGCACGATGTGCACACGCATTACTGCGGCAACCATCGATCTACCCACTCATTGTTCTACTTCCAGACATCCTATTGTTTCACATTATGACCATTAGCTTATACCCGTAGATAGGTAGCTTAGGTAAGATAGCCCGCTGTACGCGTATATAAGACCAGCCATGTAGAGGACGAAACTTCAGATTGTTTCTCCTCGTCTACTACCAGTAGCATCTACTGAGCTCACCAGCTCCTCCATATATCTCTAACCCTTTTCTGTGTTCACCACATCGACCGGTAAGTCAACAGGCTCTTGCACCACATAGAGTTCAGGGGGATACCTTGGGATCAGGGGGATCAGGGCGGCACGTTCCACATGACTGTCCCTTTTTTTAGTCTTTTTGATCTCTTGTCCGGTGTTACCATGACATTAGAAACAATCTGACATTTTCTGCACCCCTGCTTAGTGTTTAACACAAGCAGCCACGTATTTTCAGCACAAGCAGTTTCAGCCGTAGCGCGCGGCTTTTTTGACATACATTCCAACCCGACTTCTACCAGGCGTGAGCCTCAGCAAGACACTGAGCAGCCCAAGACAGCAAAGTGCAAGGCCACCAAGGTAGAAGATCCTTACGCCAGCTACAAACGCCTCGAGACCAACAAGGAGCGAGGAAGACTTCTCACTCTAGCATTCTTAGGCGCATCCTCTACAGACAGGCAGCGTGCAGCAGCCAGGGTAGTTGACACTATGCATATCAGAGTCCAAGGCATCATCCACCGACCTCGCAGTCACACTCCCCCACTCGAATGCTACAAGCCCAGGAAAGGATGTCTCACTACAGGCAGCCGAAAGCCAAGACCACCCCCAGAGATCATCACCTCCAACGCCTTTCCCCCCATCATTGTTGCTCCACAGCCAGTGCGACCCCTTCCCAACTTTGTTAAAGTCAACACACATGCACAACCCATTCGCCCTCTTCCGTTCAAAGTCAGGCCCACCCTCCACATTAAAACACTCAAGAAGCAGGTCTTAGCTACCCGCTTCAGACTACAACCGATGTTAGGAGCATTCTGGGAGAGAATCGATCAGGACAAACGAAAGAAGGTACAATTCCTCGCATCAGAGTTAGACAAAGTCTGCGCAGACCTCTACACGGGAACTCATGAATACACCTTCGTCGACAAACAGGTCATCAACACGTGCTGCCTAGAGATAGGGAGGATCAACTTCAAGGAGATAGGGAAACAGCAGAGGTTAGACGAGATCATCAGGGAGATTGGAAAAGTCAAGAACAAGCAGTACCTAGGCTTTATTTTCAATTAGTTTACACATCTTTACCTACATCACAATGGAAGGAGCCGATCGTGCGCACGCATCCACGTTCAGGCAAAGAATGGATGACATCCTGCATACGAATGTCGAGTCAGCACACGACGGAAGCACCTCACGTGCCTCACAGTGCAATTCACCAGAACCTGCGCTAGGACCACAGGATTCTGCATCACAAGTCAGAGGACCAGCATCCCCGACACCATCACTTGTACCCGCCTACGTTCCACGCATCTGGGAGTTTGACGGACAGCAACTTGAGCACCTAGAAGATGCCCTCAGACAGTCTGCTCCCAGAGAAGTCCCAGACCACATCCACGAATGGGTAATCGTCACCATGAAGCTCACGGTCACTACTGAAATCGTCAAGGTCTACAATGTACTCAGAAACAAGATGTACGAGCACAAGATGGCTTTTGAATCGTTGATCCAAAACAACAAAAGCAAACACCGACTTAAGGAGGCAGTTCTCCAGACAGAGATCGGGAAGCTCAAGGATAGGATCCTCGCACAAGATGCGCATATGACAGTTTTAAATGATGAGCTCACGGGAACCCAGGCGGCAATGCTCGACACAGGCAAAGAAATGATGGAAATCAAGGCAGCTAACGTCAAGCTGCGACATGAGCTAGCTTCACTCAAAGCAAGCGGTGTCACTGCGATGCAAGGTCAAATGTTTGGCACGGCTCAATCGCACAAGCCCCACATCAAAATTGCTGAGCCTCCGCTCGGGCAAAGGAAGTCTGGAGGATTGGCTCCAACAACTCGATATATGGATGCGGTGGAATGAGATCAATGACGATGAACACAAGATCACCACAGCCCTGCTGCATTTGGAAGGTGGCACATTCACATACATGTCCGAGTACGCGACCAGAGCAGCAGCACGGCAGGCACTTGGCACATGGGAGACTTCGTCAACATTCTCAAAGTAAACTACAGGACCCTCAACCCGGACAAGGATGCACAGCAGCATTTGAAGGATATCTGTGGCAAGACGTATCCCACGATGGTATCCTTCACAGAACAGTTCCGTCAATGGGCCACTAAGACCAACTTAGGGCACACTGCACTAATCGGTTACATTGCTGAGCATCGAAGCAAGGACGTACACCAGGCAATGGTTACACGAGACAGTCTAGGAATTTTTGACCCCATCACATAGCCGGAATACCTCGACCTATGCCTTCAACTGGAGTTCAAGTTCAGGGCCGATAAGGCAGGACAGCGCGGAATGGTAACAACATCATCATCATCAGCACCATGAGCCTCAAAGGACCCTAACACAATGGTTGTGGATCGAGTATCCACACTCACCAAGGAGCAGGAAGGATGGCTGGAAAAGAAGCTGTGTGTACGATGCAGGAAACACCCCTTCATTTTTAAACAGCGATGCTCAGACCCCAAGTACA